TGTGCGTCAAAAATTAATTTAGTCTCTTGGAAACCATTCAATGTAAAAGCTTTAAAACAAGCGAGATGTCTGCTGTAAAAAATATCGTATTTGCTCTACTGCTTACAAATTTGTGCAGTCAGTATTGTATTTGCGCTGATCATTCGAATGGAAAACAAAATGTTAGAATCATTCGACGTGATCCGAAGGTAGTTTGTATCACATTATTGATTATTTAAATGATAAAAATAATAATAATAAACGATTTTGTTTAGAAGGGAATCACTAGTGAAGCGATTGACATTTTTACTACAAAGAAAGGATTACAATTATTATTGCCAGTTAATACTAGTATGAAACATTTAACGGAAGCTTTTTTATCTGAAATGGCAGAATATATACAAAACCCACCACCAAAAAGGAGTGGAATTATCAAATTGAATGAAATGGAAATTCTTTACAATTCATTGATATCTGGCAATCCAGGACTTGAAGCTTTGTTGGCTGGATTAAAAGAAATAGCAAAAAATCCAGAAAAGATCAAAAATGAAGAAATAGATTATTACTTCCAAGTTATGGAACGTGTTCTCAATGGCATTGGACAAATAGAGACTCATAAAAGACGATTCATTAAATGATCCAATTATTGTTCCATCAAATTGTTGCGTATACAAAGACAATTTCTCAAACAGCACATGAATTAACTAACTAATAATTTATATACATATTAACATGGTGCAAAATGAAATAAAAATTTGTGCATTTATAATATTATCGAATTATCGATGCAAAAAATTTGTATTCGAGAATAACTAACCAACATTATCTATCGTTCTATTAGGCACGTAGAAGCTATTTCATTTTAGTCAATCAATAACCATTCGTTTCAATATATACAACTCTTGGTCATTATTTCAACTCACGTACAATGTTTACTGTGGAGAAAATTGTGTTTATTTTACTTCTTATAACCTTTTGGAGTAATAATTGCAGTAGTTGCAGGTTGATTTAATTGATTGATATTTAAAAAAAACTCCGTTATCTTGTTATTTGATTCTTCAAGAAATGTTGTGAAAAATTTTATTCTCTTTTCATAAAGGCAGGACTTTAGTAGGATTTTAGAAAATATGAAGTCAATTTTGAATAAAATTCCGGCCAAAAATTCAACGAACAAGTAGAGCTACCAATTTTTTTATTTAATCACATTATTGTTGGAAATATCTTTATCCTATTGTGATAACTTTATGAAAATGATTTTACTAACAGTAAAATGTTTTTTTAGAACAACTGAAGATAAGAAACCAGAATATTACGTAGAGTTTCCACCTGAAGAAGGTGAAATAAATCCAGAAAGAAAGCAATTGGATGAATTTGAGAGACGTTATAGATCTTTAATATCTGCGAATCCTAGATATGAGGCTTTGTTATCAGAAGTAAGAGACTACATGCGAAAGCCACTTCCACAATGCATGGGTGGCAATATTGATCAATCATGTCAAACGTTTCATCCACGTCAAGCACACTCAGCACAACAACAAACTTATATGAATTACAACAGTCGAATTGAAGATTTAGACAACAAAATTAAAGCTATTCAGAATTTGCTGAAAAGAAAATAGCTACAAATATTTATCCACTGAAATAAAAATGAGTTTTTCTGTTCTAGCATTGACGTAAGAGACATGATAAATTTGATAAAAATTCAATTCTATTGTCACAAAGTCTCAATTATTATTCAGCACATCATATATTTACATTTTGTTTTCATGACGATCGACATTTTTCAATAATTATAATAAAGATCTGTTATGACAAATTTGAATGTAGCTTGTATTTTTAGCAAAATGTATGACGTAAAAAGTGATCGAATTTTAGTGTATATCTGTTTCAGTTACTATTTATGGAATAAATAACCAAAAGATTTTGGTATGAGTAAAGAGTTTTTGTTTTTCTATATTTCATTTTATGACACAAATGAAATATATTTTAGTCAATCGAGGAGCTTTCACGTGCACAATATAGAAAACCTTAATTGAAAAAGTAGCCAATTATGTGTGGCCTAAAAAAAATTTTGTTCGTTTTTATTTTTACGATATTTTGGAATAATTATTGCTTTGGATGTGAAATGTTAGCTTCACTTCATCCTATTAAATTTTGGAAATTTATTTTGTTTTTCGTTAATTTATTTATAAAGGCCTCATTCTGAAAAACCTAATTTGAAACGGAACGCACGTATGAGTGGTTTGAATCGTTTTACTAAAAGGTTTCTCAAATAATAAATTGATATTTCCTAATAAAAAGAGTGATAAAAAATCAAATTTTCTCTAGATCTGAAAGAGATTCTTCCGATTCTGGAGAAGTAAAGAGTTCACAAAATCATAACAAAATAACCTCATCAACCCCAGAAGCAGAGCAAAAATTTAAAATCGTTTATCCTGGTAAAATTGATGTCGAGGTTAGATGAACTTATAGAGAATTCGATAAAATATTAAAATGATAAAAAAACCTGATCGAAAATCAATTAAGGAACAAGATGCTCGGAAGGCCAATGGAAAGAAAACAGTGTCATTTCTCATACCAGACGGACCTGAAAAAGAGTCTACACCATTGCATTCCAGCTCAAAAGGTGCAAAAACAACAATACCTTAAAAATTGCTATGTGAAAAATAAAGCAGGATAGTAAAATGTATCTCAATTGAAAAAAAAAGAAGATATTTTTCAGAATAAAATTAAAAGCAAATAAAAACATCTTCAAAGGAAAACGTGTCGACATTTATTCTTTCATTTATCTTGTCCTAATAAGTCTGTATTAGAAGTCGAATTTGAAGATAGCGGTCTGTTTTCAAAATAAAATATATTTAGCAGACATTATAATGAGATATCGTCAGGAGCTGAAATGGAGTGAAAACAATAAAAGTGCTGATTCATCTGACTGAAAATATCTCATTATAATGTCTGATATTTAGTATTTACATATTTTGCATTTTTAAATTATTTTGCGTCATTTTTCATATTGAAGTAATCTTCCGATATGAATATAATTTTTTTTTAGTCTACTATACTTGTTGCATAAGGAAAATTTCATTTAGTCACATTTAAGCTCTACAACAGTATTCAATAAAATTGCTGTCAAAAATTTGAGAAGTATGTGTTCCTTAAAATGGATTACGATCATGCTGTTGCTTACAACGTCATGGTGTAATTACTCTAGTGGTTGCAGGTCTATTCGAATTTTTTTTTTTTAGAAAAAAACATTTGGCTTTTTTAAAAGAAACATTTTTTTATTTTTCATTTTCCAACATGATTCCATACAGTTGCAGTCAAGATAGTTCTAAAGAAAGCTTGAAAAGTTTTGAAACACTGTCGTCCACCAGGTTTTGTTATATTATTTAAAAAGTTCTTTACGAAAATGATTAATACTGAACATAAGTTCATCCAATTTTTATTCGAATTGGTTTTTTTTTTCGTTCGAATTTTTTTGTACAATCACATTCCGTTTTTAATTCGGAAATATTCATTAAAATACCAAAGACTATAAACATTCTCTCAGGAATTCAGATGATGATACAGGAAAAAAATCATTCATACAAAGCAATGGAGAAATAACTTCCATACGAAATACGCCGTCAGAAGAAAAACAGCAATTTATAATTGTGTATCCCGGAGAGAATACAGGCAAGGTAAAATTGGAGATTATTGCAAGTTTAACATTAGTTAAAATAAAAAATGTCTTTGTACGTAGAGAGAAATCGTAGATTCAGCTGGAAAGGTGAAATTTCTGTTACCAGTTGAACCTGAAAGAAAAAGTCGACATTTCTTTTCAAGATCAAAGAGAACTTCATCAAAGAAGTAGACAAGATAATTCGAACGATGCAAAATGAAACAGATATTTTTATCCTCAAATAAAAAATTGAATTCAGGCAACGAAATCGTTTTCCAGTGTTTCTGATAATCAATGTTAAATGAAAATTCCATAAATAAAGGTCCATCGAGTCAATCATAAATCATTTTTTCAATAAACCAATTTGTTTATGTCAAATCCTCAATTTGTTTATCGTTCAATATTCATTTGAATTAAAATGTCAGCCAATCAATTCACAGATAAACAGGTAGTTTAAGCATTGGCCAATTTGATTTATGTTAGATGTGTGCAATCGATTTGTATTCAATAAACTAAATCTATCGAATTAACGAGATAGCTTCTAATTGACCATAAAATTCGTTAAATTAAATCGAATCCAGTGTATGCAATTCAATCAATTATACAATAAAGCGGTTAAACGAAGCATCTTTACTAATGGAAAGTGCTGTATGTGTTGGTTCTTTAATTGAAAATTACTCTGTTTATGGCACACTGTGATTGGTTAAGATGTTGAAGCGTCCACTTTTTCATTAGATCTCACGATATCGTCGATAATTGAAAAACAATCTTAAAATGACATCTTAAGTAGTGAACAATAAATGACTGAATGAGTAAATTTCAATTGACAAAGATTCAAGTGTTCATTTGGCATTTTGAGATCGGGAGTATTACATCAATCTTAATTCATTCCGGATATATTACAAACTGTTGGCAAATTCAGTGTTTCTCGCTTGAAAAAGTTGCATCATGAATATCACTCGAAGCATTTCAATCCTTAATGAGACAAGTTAGAAAAGATAGAGCAAAGTTGCATCTTGCGGCTATTTACATGCTGAACTCATTGTCATTAGTAAAATCAAGTTTGCAAGCGCTTTGAAAGTGGCGCTTTAATTATGTTCACCACTTGCAAAATGCAGCTTTTATCTTAGCTTGCTTGGGAAGAATTTAAAAAAGAAAAAAAATCGATTAACGCTCCGAATCTTATCCAAAACCACAAAATCTATTACAAAAACTACTTTGGCCCGGAAGCATCAGAGTAACAGCAACCAGATTTATTCGGAGAACTTCTTTCGGTGCCAAGAAAATTACTCTAGCAAAAAGATACAATTGCATTCCATTTTTTTTCAACTCCTTTGCTTCATATGCTTAAATCAGATGATTTTGGTCAAAGTTCCGTGCGTTTTAATTTAACTTCGGAATTGATTAATCACTTTTTTCTCCTGCATTTGTAATCGTTCTTTACACCGGCAACTCTTGAGTCGTTTTTGTTTTTTCCCGGCTTTCGAGTTTTTTTTTGCATTCGAAGTAGACATATCAACTTGTGCAGCGAAATTCTTACCGCAGTCGAGTTGTCTGTTCTATTTTCCGTATGATAAAAGTTTAATTGTATTTGGCGAACAGTTTCTCTTGATTTCTTTTCTCCAGTTACTGTATTTCAACTGTTGACGTTGGCGGAAATGGAAACGACGACAGGATAAATAATTTACCCTTACCAAAAAAGAAACCAGTCAAAATGAAGAAATTTCCGAAGATACAGCCGAGGAAGAATTTGAACGAGACACATGTCTTGCGGTTGTGTATTGCATCGGCTGTTGGCAACAATTCGAAATTAAACATCAGTTCCTTGATACGCAGCTCTGGTTTAGTCTCATTGTGTCTGTTTTTTGTTTTTGTTTTTTTTTTGAGAAGCAAAACTTTATTGAAATCTATGGGAAATGAAAACTCCGCGTGGAATACATTGTGTCGCCAAAAGTCTTTTCTTTCGATTTTTTAAATGTGTATGTGTGTAAAAGAAAGAAAAGAAAAGAAAGAGGAAGAGGAAGGTAGAAAGATTTAGAATGATACAGAATTGCATCATATTGTTCCAAACCACTTGCACTTTATTCAAAATACTTGTACTTGGTGAATAAAATCAACGGCACAAAAAGTTTTTTGAGACGTTGATGTAAATGCTCTGATGGCGGTAAAATCTTTTCAAATATATTCGTGTTGTGAGATAAGTATTGTTTGCATTTCATCTTCCATGTTGCGTCACAGATTTTAACAGATGCGGAAACAATCTTTGGTATATATACACTGACTGGTGAGCTATTGTTTTATTTATTAAACATTACGACTGTTTCGCTTCCAAATTGGTGGTTTTAAACAAAACATTCAATTTTATTTTGATTCTTTCGGCTTATGAATCGTTTTCATATTACAATTTGAACTCAAAATTAAAACGCAACAACGAAAAACTTTGCCATCTCAGTGAAACGAAATTGTGACTTTGGAAAACAAACTTTTTCATGATCGCTTGTCATAATTAATTTGGATGGCTTTCATTTTCCAAATGATGCAGTTGTATAATTTAATTGGAAAAGGAAAATGATATCCGGTTATTATTAGAAACTTATTGAAGCAACTTCAACTGACTTCATTACAATTTCGATGTTACTTTTCACTTTTTGCACTTTTTTATTTTCGTTATTTTTTATATTTCTGTCGATGGTAACTTAGCCATGGAAATTTCCTTGCATTTATTTTAAAATTTATGGCCCTAATTTGTTTTTTTTTGTGAATTTTCCATTTCGCAGCAAACTCAGATTGAGTGGTGAAACAGTTTTTGGTATGTAATTTAATCCATTGTTATGCAACACATACCAGTCATGAATTACTATGAACACAACTTTTGTTGCACAAGTAAACATTTACTATTAAAATTATGGAATTTGATGGGGAATATTTAATATATTGATGAAGTTTTGTTCAGTTACACATATAGGTTAAAACTTGATTCAAGATAAAATTCAAAAAGAGAAAAAAGGTCTAAGCCATCAAGTTGTGTAAAATAATTTTGAATGATTGTCGTACAAAACAGTCGATTGGAATTCTCGTGAGACGTTTGCATTTTTGTGTGCCTCAAAAAAGACATCATTTGTCCCAAGAATACTCATTCTTCAAAACATAAGTTCGATTTCAAAGGCATCAATGTCAACCGCTGATAAAAAATATGGCTCAAAGTGTTTGTTTTTCTTCTTCTTCTTTGTGTGTGTGAGAAAAAAAAAATATTCCAAAGGGACATTGTGTACATATTGTTGAAATTCGTATCTTTGCACTTTGCCTTTATTTCAATTTCGTCTTTCCGCATCGTGTATTTACGATAAGGCAGTAAACGTTTAAATTCAAATATTGATTATTATTCTTCCATCTGTGTCTCGTGTTGTTGTTTCTTATATTTTGAAAAAAGGGGTCCATTGTGTGTATTTTGGCACTTTGACGTCGAGATAAATAGCGAAAATAATAAAATTGTGAAATCGGCAGTCATTTGTTATTCGAAATGCGGCCAAGCCCCAATAATCGACAGATGTTGTACATTCGTACGCTTGTGAAATCTTATCTGCTTTGAAATGATCCACTGTCATTGCTATTTACGGACGTTGAGCAATTAGAAAGTAAATGTTGGTTATCTGTGATTTTTTAGAAGAAAAAAAATCGTTTTCAATGTAATGCGATCACTTGATTCGAATAATTTCGAGGCAAGATTAGACAAATGACTGAGGCTCGCGTGACCACCAACAACTCACTTACGAACAACTCCAACTAAATTCAATGATGAATTTGTTTATTTGTCTTACTTAAAGCGTGAAGAACGTGCCTTGCAGTAGCTTTCCTATTCTGATTTATATAAATATTTATTCAGACCATATAAACATTGTAAGTTTACGTCGGAATTAGTACTATGTACGCTTGTTGTGACTGAGTTTGCTAATACCCCATGTTGACCTTTTTTTGTATTGGTCAAAATGGTCGATTGACCCATTAACGGAAAAACAACAGCAATCACAACGGCATAATAATCGTTACGCAAATTAAATGCGGTTATAATGTTGTCACGGACGACAAAAAAAATTTCTTCCAATAATATCGCTTCAAAAATTTCTACAGCATTCATAACACACAAAATTGAATGAAGGAGGATTTATTTTGCAAAAGTAACATAATATAGTTAAAAATAGCTTTCTATTAACTTTTTCACTTCCGCGTATCACATTTCATGGTGATTAATACGATAACGAGCAAAAAATCATTGAAAACTCTATACAAAATTAATCGAACTGCTTTTCATCTTCTGAAAAGTGTATAGTTAAAAACTATAGATAAAGCTATATAAAGAAAAACTTATTTTTATGGATATGTTTGTATGTATTTACTTGATATGCGACGTGCACAGCTTTTTTTTACAATCAATTAATATTTAAGTTAAAACTTTATTCGAGCTTCTACTTGTTATTATTCTAGATTGGAAATTTTTGCGTTCATGATTTTTTTTTTGCACTTTGGGTAAAAAAGCGTGTTTGACTAGAAATATCACTCATTGCTTGAAAAATAACAAGTTTTGCTGACAAAAGCGAACGTAGCGAGGTTGTATCGAATAATGAACTTATTTAAAAAGTTTTATTTTTATGTTCATTTATCTTTTATAGTACGCTACTGCGGAACTCTTTTATTTGATCGTCGTGTAATTGGATTTTTTTTTCGTTGCAGTTAACTAAAGTAGTTCAGCAATGTTCATTAATTTTCACAAAAATGGTTGAATTTATCGAAACATGAAATCTCGGTTGAATGTTTATGATTAATTTTCATTCAATTTGATGTCTGGGGCTGGCTAAATTATTGAACAACCCAGAGAAGTCAATAAATTTCACTGAAAAATGGGATATAAACAATAAACGGTTCAAATTGCCGACAAATAGCCACGGAGAGCTAGAAAAAATGCCAAATATTCGCCGTCATTCATGAAAATTCCACAGTTCTTTTATTAAGTTATCAAAAAGTTGAAGCCCAGAAACTTTATTTTGGTTTGGTAAACGGTTGTATTGTCCACAACTATATGACAATCGCATGTCAACTAGTTGTTTCTAAACTATTTATTGTGGTTGACCCAAATCAAAGTATATATTCCAAAACATTTTATTAACATATAGATGGCCGGAATATAATGAAGCGCATTTTTCCCCCGAATGGAACAATGAAAATTGATAAACTACAACCATTGTAAGTTCAAAACAATGCATTTAATATATCAACAACAGCAGCAACGACAATCCCATGCATTCATCCCTAGCATTCACGCTGTTCTCTTTTAAACGACAATATATT